TACTAAATACCAACAGATTATTCAGTAATCACCACAAGACAATCTTTCCATCCTCTGAAAACAGAAATCATTGGAATAAGAAATTGCTCAGTTATTTGTGACTGCAGGGAAATGTACAAAGGCACATAGGTGATGGTTAAGTGAAAATTACTCTGACAAGTACACACATAGATAGATTAGTACCCTTCAAGAGAAGCTGTACTCCTGGGGAAAACAATTAACTGCTGTGGAGCTCCCTGACAAGCATTTCATCCTTGAGTTATGTGATTGGCAATAATCTCAAAATTTTTCTTCATTCTAATTCACATCAACATCTTGGAAGGGGTTTCAGAATTTGATATATTCACCCAACTCTAAAGCTGATTGACTTACCATGCCACGAAACTGAGGTATTCATTGAACTAAAACAGCCAACATTGATTTCATGTTCTCTCCTAGTGGAGTAGAAGTATCTTATATAATCCTGATACATTTTCAAAGAAATCATAGTGTGAGGGGATTTCATTCTGTGCCTTTCTATATGAGATACTATAAAAAGTACTCCACCACTTAAAACAGGCACATATTTTGAATGGGATCATAGATTTTTCCTACCAGGCGCCGGAAGGTTGTAGTGGCTCCATGAAATCCAAAGCAAATAGTTCTAAATTTAAAGATGACTGAAGGGCCATTCATGGACAATATTCTAGCCAGGAAGAATCTGCTAGTAGCTTCTAGTTAGGCTTAGTGTGATGACATAATGGACTTTGCTTAATCATTCTAAGTTGTTCTTCTCATGGTAGGTATCAAACTTTGATGTGGTGTTTATTTTTCTGAAGTCTATACAAAGCCTGACTAAGTGGCTTTGTATAGACAGGGGTGTCAAACTCATTTGGGGCCCCAGGCTGGGTCTGGACCGTAGGGATCATCATGGGTCAGATCCAGCTCAGGGTATGGGAGTGGCTGCCATGGCTACCACAGTGGTGGGTCTAGCAGCAGCAGGTCTGAAAGGTCTTGCAGAGTCAGCAATCTGGAAGTGGAGATCTGCTAGTAGCAAGAGGGATCCAGAGGTGGCCATGCATACAAGGAAGAGGTTTGGAAGTGGTGGTGGCAAGCCAAGTTTGCAGCCAGTGGTCCTGACAGCCAAAAAGGCCTTGAATTCCATAGCAGGACTTCTGGTGGCTTGTGGGCTGGACTGAGAGATTCCGTGTGCTGAATCCAGACCATGGACCAGATTCAGATCCATGGGCTGTATGTTTGACACCCTTGTCATAGACTTAGGTTGGGGGAACAAATCAACGTAGTTTCACCACTGACACTGCAACGATGATCTCCATATCCTTCATCCTCTGCACTTCCTTGACTATTAGCTATATCTCCTCAGGAAGTGGTTACAGAGCTTAACACAATTAGTTCTCAAGTTTAGTCTCTGCCTAGTGAAACATGGGGTGCACCTGACCAAGTAGTTCCAAATACCTTCACCCAAAGTCCACTACAAAATGAAATACCTGTCTCTGCTGCTTAGGGTCCAGATGTTCTCCCAGTGGGAACAATCTGGCCTGCAGAAGGGGATGAATTTTACAATCCTAGTTAGGGGTCAGAGGTGAAAAGGGATATTGTGGGAGCCCTCCCAGTTCTTACAGGGTTTCAAGAGTGGGCCTTAATGTCAATGAGACTGGGACCTAGGCTTCTGGCACCATCAGTGGAGTTTGTGCTGCAGTCAAGATCCTACTTCTAAGCACCACTTGTGAAGGGGTTGTTTGTTCCCAGATTCATTAAGGGACTCCAGTCCTATAAGACCTTACTCTGCTGGCCCTTGAAGTCCAGGCCATTTTTTCTTTATTCCTCTTTACTGCAGCCTTCCTTTAGGATTAATAATTTGTTTCTTAGAAAGGCTGGCTTTCCCCTCTGCCTTGTGCTTTAGGGGATGGTCTCTTAGCTGTTTCCCAGACAGCTTACCCTACTTGACAGAGGTCTTCTGGGCATGTTCCCTAGGAGCTTCTTAGAAGGTAGCAGCAACTGCTGAAGAGCTCTTTGCAGTACTCCCCAAGTGCTCTCATAGCAGCCCTACCCAACTTGAGCTGCAGTCTTTTATGACAGCTGTTACTGGTCAATTATTTAGTCAAAACTGGAGAAGGAGGTGTTCTGGCCATTAACTTCTTTGTCTCTGCTACAGCATAAAGTTCATATACAAAAATCCCCAAATGCAACCTTGATCCATATTGTATTTTTTTATGTTCTATATTCCATTTATCCAAATACAAATTCTACTGGGGACGTTGTCATTTCAGCTTAAAATTTTAACTTGAAAATTAACAACTGAAACCATGTCTACATTTTAACCAATTTAATAGCAACTCAGTTTATATGGTTGTATTGGCAATAATACTGGACACAATAATTTATGGCTTTGATACCACGCTCAGGAATTACAAGATATTCATAAAGTGATATATGTAATTTCTCTGGACTGTCAATGAGTCCTTTTCCCCATATGCACTCATCACCATGGTATTGAGTACCTTAGAAAAAAATTATTAAATCCACATACAGCTTTGTATAAACCAGCTGGGCCAAACTCATGAACTCAGCTATCAAGCTAGACACATTTCCTATACTTTCATTTCATTCCTACCATATATACTTCTCAGATTTTCCAAAAAGCTTCTCACTAACATCTATTGCTCTTTCTTAGTCTCTTATTTTAACTCTCTCTCTCTCTCCCTTGGAGATACTTGCTAGCAACTACATTTTCTCTCTCACAGATCATCTCTCTTGATACTGTGAGAGAGCAAGTCAACCATATCAAGCATCAGTGCAGCCACAATGAAAGTGAAAAGCCATTTTCTATTACCCGTTTGTTTAAATGCCAAAGCATATAGTTTTGATGTTCCTAATCTGATTATTTATATCCACACCCCTTTCTTGATTAACATTAAAAGCCAGAGCAATCAGTGAAAAGTAGCTTGAATAGTTTTAACTATTCATACATTTAATGCATATATTTATATATAAATATTACATAAATGTTGAAATGTTACAAACAGAGAAAATATTAAGAAGCTGCAATTCACAGAGAATATATGAAACTGATTAATCACAGAGGTCAGGTTTTGCAAAAGTTAATACATCACAGAAATGATTTACAATGTAATTAGAACCTTTGAACTTGCAGGGATAACCCACTTCATATACTATGCATATGAATATTTCATATACTATGCATATGAATATTTCATATACATGTTCCTTTTTAATATTACTCTTTATAGGCCTGATCAAATGCCAAATTGAACAGTTTTATCTTTAGTAACTGTTCCCAGCAGAGGTACCAACATGACAACATCGAACAATCCAGCTTTCACCAGAGTTGGAAGGTCAGCAGGATGAATGACTGAATGAACATGAAAACTGAACTATATCAGCTTTAGAAGTGCTCCTTAAAGACTAGGGCTAAACACACTGGCAGGAAACTTACACTGGCACTGCAACATGCCTATTCTATGAGTAAGACGAAGACTGCAGTTTCCAGCAACAGGCACACAAGGATTTCTGAATATTAAAAATTGAAGTATATTATTCTGCTGGTTAATTGTGCAATGACCCTGAGACCAGCTACACGTGAAAAGTAGCTATAGCACGCCATAAAAAGCTCCAACCAGCTATGAAGTTAGAACTTGAAAACATGTACTAACTTTATAGCTGGCTCCTATTGAGCTTTTATTTCCATGTATAGCAGGGTCTCCTCTGCAGCTGGAAGCCCCGTCAGTCGATGGGGCTCCCAACCCCAGGGGTGCACCATGCCCATCTGGGGCTCTAAGTCCTGCAACTGAGGGGTCTCAGCCCCCACACCTGCCGATTCTGGGTACCAGTAGCATAGAGACTCAGATTCCCACAGCTGCAGACACGGTGTGCTGGGACCCAGTTGGGTCCCAGCCACCAGGGGGCTCAGCTGCCCCAGGGGTGAATGAAACTCCCAGAGCTGGGAGACTGAAGCTTCCTCAATCTCCAAGCCTAGGAAGTGTGTAAAACCCCTGAGGCTAGGGGATCGCACCCCCAAAGTTGGGGGATAGTGACAGCCATGATCCCTTGGCCCTGGGGGTTTTATACACCTTCAAACCTGAGGAATCATGGCAACCATGTTCCCCAGCCCTAGGGGTTTCATGCCACCCCCCCTGCCCCACCCCACTGAGGGAGCTCCCAGCCATGGCCTCTTGTTTTTTGCTGGTACAAAGGGTGCCCAGGATCAGGCTCCCCCAGCACCAGCAATAAGGTGTGATGGGATCTAATCCATGTGTGGCATGGCAGGAGACACAATTCTATAGATCATGCATTAGATCCCATTATGCCTTTACCTGCACGTGTAGAGGGGCCCATAAAAACAGAATGCAGATATAGGTAGCATCACACTAGACAGCAGGCACATTAGCCATTGTTTTCACTGTCTACTACCAGATATGCAAGATCAAGCTCTCCATTTGTTCATCCATCCACAAATAATGCACATTTCATAAGCTTTCATGTTTCCAAGAGAGTGGCTACACATTTTCAGTCAAGCAAGCCTCAAAGGATTTTCATCTAACTTTCTCACTCTGATATGATGTTTGCCATACAAGACCATCATGCATCAACATTGCACATGCTTTACATGCTCTTAAAAGGAACTTGCAGCTGGGGATTGTTGAGAATAATTCTGTTCCAACACAACTCACCTAAAGGAACCAGGATAAAAACTGTTTCCCTCCTAATTCTCCCTCATGCATGGAGAAGGACAACTTCTTTGATGCTTCCACCTTTCCAAACTCACAAAACATAGATTCCTCATACTTCTCCACTGCATTTCCACCATAACATCCATCTAGGTCCTTTCCATCCCTTTTTATAGGTTTTGTAACAAATTTGTAACTTTGATGTCTTTTTTGACTAGGTTTTCTCTGCCACCAGTTAACAAGGGTATAGTTTAATATTAGGAGATTTCAAATAGAAACTAATTGGCTTAACAAAAATTTTCAAATTCTTACCATGGTCCACAGGTTCAGACATACAGAGTCTGTTTGGGGCCTCATTTTCAGTTGGTTCATCATGTCCTATGGATACATAGTCCAGTGCAGTGACTGGCTGAGAATGAATCAAAGGCTCTGAAGTCTGTTCATCACATTCCTTAATTGAAGCAACATTGATAATGTAAATGATTCGAAGCTCTCAGTTTGGCTGCAATGTGGCAGATACTCTGATCCATACAAGTGGCGGGCACTTATGATAAGCAGCCGTTCTTTGTAACAGGACTTTAAAAAAAAATGATCGAAAGTCACTGATATTTCATGAGGACACATTAAACTTAACTATTTCAGCAGAGACAGTAGGATACCAAAATGAAACAACCAGGCCAGAATAGAGCTATAAAGCTCTAAACAAAAGGCATTGTTTTAGACTGTTTCACTGCTTCTCTGATAAGCTGTAACACAATTGCAGGAACTGATCTATTTTTTTTCTCACAGATATCTTAAGACCAAATGAAAGTTTTCTGGGGGGAGGAACCCCAACATTTCTTTCTTACTAAAAGCTGGATGTAAAGTCCAAAGTAATCATCTCAACTAAATAAATAAAAGGAAGCAACAATCCTATCACAATGGCTAGGTACAGACAGTCAAAAAGCCCAAGGCAGAATTGACTCAATCTGCACAGCTTTCTCTAAGCTGGGGCATTTGCAGCTGGGGGGAGCTGCACTGCAGGGGAGAAAGCCCGTGCCTTAGGAATTTTCCTCCCACCTGCTGTGCAGACCCTGGCTGGGGGGAGCCAGGACCGGGGTGGGGGTCCTTTTCCCTCCTCAACCACCTCCGTGCCACTGCCGACAGGGCTAGGAAGAGCCTCAGCTCTCTGGCAGCCGAGGGCAGGGCCACCTGGCACAGCTGGAGCAAACAAGCTGGGGTACAGGATAGCTCACTCAACATGCAAGGGGGGATGGGTGGGTTAGTGCATCCTGGGATGCCTGGGGACTGAGATATAACCTGTGTTGGGAGGGGATGCGGGGCAGAAGTTTGATAGACCAATTTAACTTAAATCGGTTTAGTTTGATACTATATCCATCCAGATGATCATAAACCGTTTCAGCCATTCTGAAACTGGTCTATGAGCACTGAACTTCTGTTCTGTTACAGGTTTAAGCCAATTTCCAATCACTTATACAGGTTTATATGGAATGTCTGCCCTAGCCAATATGATATTTGAGGAATTATCATCTTAAGACTCTCCTGGAAATTAATTTATTTTGAATGATGGCTCCATTTGGGGCTGGAGGAGATACAGAGAATAGGTGGGTAAGAATGAATTAAGGTAAAAAAAAAAGCCAGTAGGCCAATTAATTCTCATTCCCTTCCCCCTTCCCCTCCTGCCTCCAATCCTTTGATTACAACTATATTCATTCTCCCTTCCCCCCTCCTCCCCACCTGTCTTTCACCTACTGATCACCTCAATTTACATTTTAACTGACTGGCTTTCTTGCATAGTACTGGCATCTGGCTGCTTTACCATTTCATCCAGGAAGAGCACAGACCATTTGCAGACGCTTCCTCAGTCTGATGAAGGGTGTTTGTGCCTGAAAGCTTGCAAAGAAGAATTTTCCCAACCATCTGAGTTGGTCTAATAAAAGATACCGGATTTACCCAAAGAACCTTGTCTGACTAGGCCAATTAAAGACATTTGTTGAAGCTTATTTGTGCTACTGAAGAAACTTTTTACCAATATGGAACACATTTCAGCTAAGTCTTCTAGATTTCAAAGCATAACCAAACTATTCATCAGGGAGCAGGATTAAGCTGATGGTTCTGCAAGTGTGAGAGAAACTGAAAAATACTTGGTTTGAGCAAGTGGGTCTAAAACATCATAACATCACTTACATGAAGCACATTTATACTCAATTGTTGAAAATTACGGGACCTCAGTTCTTGCATTCTTTTGAAGTTTTCTTGATATTTTTCTTCTGCCAGCCGTCTGTAAATACAAAGTATATGCATTCAACCATCTGCATTAAAAATATCTGGAATTTAAAAATCAACTGCAGTAGGGCCAAATATTCAAGCAGGAATAGGGCTTTCCTTCCAACAGGTGTTGTTTGGATGCACTTACAGACAGAATTTAGCTCTTATTTATTGAATTTATTATATTTATTTTCACAATTTGTATACAGTAATTTAGAGGTGACACATGTGGTTTCTTTAGCAAACCTTTGCCAGCTTTATTCCTTCAGAACAATTTCAATAATGTGAACTTTATTTTCCACCATGTGTTCCTGGGATGCTTCTGCCCTGGGGAAACTCAGGCATAGTTTGCAAATTCTAAACATTCTCTCAGGAAGGGTTAACTAAGCAGATGTGACCCACAAGGGATCACTTGAAGCTGCCGATTCAGGAAATAAGAGGTGGTGCTGGAGCTAGCTGCCTTCCCCACCCCCCAGGGGAAGGCACCTGGGGCTTCCCTCCCATACTGCACAGCCCCAGGGGAGAAGGCAGCTGGCTCCAGCACCTGGGGCTTCCTTCCCATGCTGTGCCAGTGCGCATGCATGGTGGGGAGCACTGGAGGCTCTGCCCCTCACCACAGTGTGCAGCGCTGGCCAGAGCTGCACCCCACCAGGCACCAGTGCCCTAAGCACCCTTGCCAGCTGCTGCTGCGCCATGGGGGGGATATTGGGGGGATCCCCACACCCCCCATATGCCACACACCCACACCCTACCTTCACAACCCCCCACATATACAGCCCCAACATACCCTATACCCCTCATACACACAGTCACAACCCCTCACACACAGTCACAACCCCTCACAAACCCCCCACTCCTGCCACACATGCGCCCACCATATACCATCCCCCCCAACATACAAGGCTAAGAATTTATTTTTAAGTTATTATGCAACCACTTCTATATACATTACACAAACCCAAATCATGACAAAAATTTTTTTTTTTGGAATAAGTAAAATATGTTATATTAGGTGTTTGACATCTTGTTTCTTTTCTGGTTCTAAGATGGCAACCCCCCCTCCCAAAAGGAGTATTTTCAAGGGGCAAGGGGAGGGACTTCTGGTGGTAAAGGTCAGGGGTTAGGGCTGGCACTTCTGGTCCCAAGATGGTGACCGGGGATGGAGCAATACTTCAAGGGGTGGGGCTACACATGCGGCCCTTGACAGCTCACCAAACCTCGCTAAGCAGCCCTCTACCCAAAATAATTGCCCATCCCTGCTCTACTGTCTGCAAGAGACATATCTCAAAGATGAATATGGACATAGATTTATCACTTTTATATTACAGAACAGATATATTTATTTTTTCTGATGGAAAGGAAAATTCCATGAACAACCAAGCTAAAATCTGACCATTTGGTATTACTGTCTAACTCAAAACTATAAAAAGCTTGGTGGTTTTGCTAACCTATTATTTATAAATTTTCCCATAAATTTGCAACTCGGCCTGTCCTAGTTAAGCACATTATTCAAAATTTCAAACACCACCCACAAATAATATCAGAAGTGTGAAATTCCAATAGCTTTTCAACAGTGGCTGTCATTCCAATGAGAATCATTTCTATTGGGATGAGGATAAATGTCCATATAAAAATAATTAGTGTCTCCAAACCCAGCTTTAATTTTTAACCCCTACTGTTAAATATGATCTTTGTCAAACACACATGCTGATCACTATTTTTTTTCAATGGGGACATCAACCCACAGCTTCTTTATATATTTGTAGTTTTTATTGTAATAGGATGTTATTGCTAAATTGAAATGTATGCTTGCTTTGGCATGGCAGTATTAAAGTTTTGATCCTAATAGACATAAACAATTAACTGTTCCCTTAAATTTAGCAAATAAAATAAATTTATTAACATAAACTGAACTTTGAGAAACTGCTTGAAGAGAATTTTTAAATGAGTGCCCCATGGAATCTCAAAATGAGTTACCCATCATAGAAGGTGGTTTTTCTATTGGGTTTTTTTTCATATTAACCAAAGAGTTCAAAAGTTTTCATTGCGAAAAACAAACCTGGATCAGCAATATAATACATTTCTTTTTATTCTGTGGTGGAGTCTTGATAACGAAGCATGGACTTCCACATACTGTTCCCACAAAGAGTATATACTGTCCTCCCCATTACAATCTCTCTTATTTCTCAGGGAAAACAAAGCATGGTAAGAATTGTAAGCCACACCCATCACCATTGCATTTGATCGCTTAATTAGTCTATCTTATAACATTTGATCTTCCAGGGGTATTAATTTCTACCTCTCTAGAAACAAGGAATTTTTTGGTGGTATCTTTTATTTGTCCAAATTGCCTTCCACCCCAGATGTCTAACATCTCTCCCAACTATACAGTTGTTCCAATAAAAGACATCAGCAAAAAATACCTCTGCCTCATATATTTCTTAGACCATCATGGCAACGTCTTTCCTACCAGTGTAGGCAAGTCTCAGATGGCAAAATAATTGACAGCTTCCTCAAAAGCTAGAACTTTGATCACAGCTAAATGGATAACTTCTAGAGTGATTATTTAATGGGCCAGTTATAAAAAAAAGTTTAATAGAAAAGAATATAAAGATTTCTTGCATATGGATCTAGTAAAAAAGCTGGCATCTGAAATGCTGTTTGGGGTTAACTTTCCAACTTTTCTCCCTACTTGAGCAATAATAATAATGTAATTAACATATCATTCACCCCTCAGTAGCTGAAAGACCTGCTTAGAAGCAACAGTGGTAACTTTTTTTATTTTGTGTTCTCTTGGTAAATTATTACCAGTAAAGGAATGCACAGGGAGAACATGTTTATGTCATGCATCTTACTTAAGCTTGCTTGCTTTCTCATCTGCAGCATTTAATTTCCTCAGCCTCATTCGTTCCCGTGGAGTCATTTTCTGTACCTCAGACAGCTCCCGCAGAGTTTGCAAATGGACTTTTTTCTGCCTAAAAATAAGTGCATGCAAGCTTGCATTTATACAAAGATATAAACATCAATATACAAAACTCACATACATTTGTTACTGAAAAAAGTAGACATTTTAAAAGCAATAATTAGGAAGTCACAGCTAATATAACAATCTAAACAGAGCTTTGTTTACATTATAATAGTTTTATATCAGAATTCTTTTCACTGTTGAATTATATACACTCAGACCTTTAAACCTAAAACATTTTACACAAGTCATTTTAGATAATGCAGAAGAAAATGGGCAAAGAGAAACACAATGTTTTAGGAAAATAAACATAAAAGCAGACTGGCAAAAATTATCTTCTGCCTTATTATTAACTATATCAAAAGCATAAATTCTGCCCTTCAGTTTAAATCACAAGCAACTAGTAAATCTCTAAAAAGTGTAATTTTGAATACTCAATTTTAAACATGGATAGAAAAAGAAAAATATTGATGTGCTTTTCACAGGATTTTTACTAGTCACGTACTTCCTTTGTATGCTGTTTGTCACCATTCACTTCTTGGTCACACAGAATAGCAGTGATTTTTTAAATGACTTTATGGTCTCCTTAAGTTTATCCATGAATACTAAAAAAGGAATTATGGGCATACCTATTCCAGAACTTCCTTTGTATTTGTAAACAAACAAAAAAAAATCAATATCTGATATTGTATAGATCTCATATCTGAAAAGTGTATTGATTCCAGACTTCATTTTACAGCCTACAATTATTATAAAAATGAAATTGCAATTCTGCAGTACTTTGGTAATCATACATATCCTCAGCATTTGTAACACTGAAATGTGTGTATACATTTCAAGTAGGTATTCTTGTTTTCAAAATTCAAGATGTAGCTGCTATGTCTTCATTTATCTAATGCATGATCATCCACAAGTTTAATTTTGTGTCTCAAAAAATTCATAGCTTTTTGCAGACTATTTTCTCAGAAATATCAGGATGTTTGTGAGGAGAGCAGCTTTCACCATGTTTCTACAATATTGAACCCAAAGAAAAATATTGGAAGGCTATAAATGATACTGGAAAATATATAACACTAAGGAAAAAGACAAGAAGATTTTAATTATAAATCAGGCTAGAATGAACCCTGCAAGAATTACCACAATAATTTGGATATATTTTTATGCATTGTACCAGAACTTAAGAACCTCTGAGAAACAAAGGCATTTTTTTCTTTCAAAATGAGATTGAATTTGTAGAGGTTTATACTCATTTAAGTATTTAAACTTTCTGAGCTGAGTGGAACCTTACCAAACCATAATAGATATTTACTGGAAAACAAAGTAAGACTGAGCTTGACCCACAGTCAAAAAAAAATCTCAAGTGGAAAACAAGCTGGCTGTAGCTTCTGCAAGGGATAATCTACAGTATTGCTCAGGGTGACCAACGAATAGGCAGGCGATGGCTGGGACATGCAGGCAGCATTTGGCTAGGGTGGGAGGGGAGAAAAAACTATAGAGCTCCCATGGACCAGAAAGCCCTGAGTATAGGGCTCTAAGCAGTGCCTCCACTTAGACCCCAGGTGGCACTGTTCTGCTCTCTCTGTACAGCATCACCATTTGTATTTAGCTTCATTCCAATATGGATCTTGAAACAAACTCAGTGTTTCTTGGTTTTCTATGGATGGCTCAATTTTCTTATAGAAATCATGAACAGATTTCTTATGGAATTGGGCAGCCTCAAGAGGCCCATCACTTGAGGCTGACTCAGAAAGATTTGAGAGGTTTCAAAGGTAAAGTTCTAAAATGTGATGATAATTTGGCTGCTGCCGCTCTCAAGAGGCCCACCTGGAGCTGGGGGGAGGAGGGAAGCAGGGTGAAATGAAGTCCCCTTACTTTGGGGGCCCAGCTCTCAGCTCTCCACAATACCCCAACTAGGGTAGCTGGTGGGTGTCATGAGGCAAGGGGCTCTGTTTCACACACCACCCCCCAGCTCACAGCAGCCACTGCTGCTCCCTTTACTGCCTCTCTGCTGACAACACCAGGGGTGGGGCTGAGCTGCTGCCTGCATCAGCCCAGCCCTACCTCTGCATGAAAAGTTCACCCTCAAGTCCCCTAAGGCATGTTACAGTAGAGTGCCTTAATATGTTGCCTGATTAAATGAGGGTTAATTTTTCAAGCAACTGACCATTTTAGAATTGCTCTGCAGCTTTGCACGTGTGTTAGGTCACAGCTGTAGAGTGCTTTCAGGGGCCAGATTGCACACAAATATCACTTCTGTCTGTGCCCTAATTTACATCGCTCTACTGTTTATCATCTAAGCTCTCAGAGAAATCTGAAATTGCTAATTAAGATCCAGGCAAGGCAAGAAAAAAAGAGAGTAATGGATGACACATCTCCTAACAATTGAGATATTGCTAGCTCTGATCTGGAATGAAGTGGCTTTTTAAAAGAAAAGTGGAATAGTAAAAAGCAAAGTGGAATGTCAAATCTAAATATAACTGCATAGCTAATGAGGAAGCTGGAATAAAATTACCAAATAATGTGCATTAACTTGTGTCTATGAGTGGGAATAATTTAATCACATCAAGTATTATATTTGCATGAACAAATACCTGTATGTAACGAATTTGCACCTGCCAATATGGGAATGGGAATACAGACATTATGGGAACTTCTACACTTTCTATGTAAAAGAATAATAAAAATACCTAGCTCTCAAAATCCTTTACAAATGTATTTATATATCAGCATATACACTTTTTGAGTAAAAATCCCTTTTAAAAGAATGGTTCAATTACTTTAAATTAAATGTTTAAATTAAGATATTAATGCCTTTAGCAATGCTCCCATTTTTGTACTATTACAAAGAAAAACAAAGCAATAATTACACAGCATTAACAATGTGAGCAGCTTCCTTCTGACAATTAAGTGTCTTGTCCTTCATAGTTATATCTGTGAATTTGCATTTGAAATTCTGAAAGAAAAGAAAATAGAATATTGACAAGTAATAGTATTATAATGATCCATCAGCTTCATTTATGGTCCAAGAGTCAGTTAAAATGATATAACAACTTATCAGTAATATATACTCTAGAAAAACAAGGAGCCAAAGAGCAAGCTGTTTCCTAGAATGTGTTTTCATTACCAATGAAGCAAACCACCCCAGTCCCTGGATTTCGTTTACCCACCTATTATTAATCTACTAGTCTGCATTGTACAAATGTCCACTCTTTTTATGGCTTTTAAAATTTCAAACTGAGTCCTCTCATTTCAGAAAGTGACAAAGACTTTCATTTTCACCTTCTCTTTACCTGAAGAGGCTTGTGCTTATAGGGGTGCTTGTACACACGATGGGTGTTTAGTTCCCCTAAATTGAAAACAGTGGGTTTTAAATTGTGACAATGCAGGCCCTAAGCTGCAGGGGGGCTCAGTTCTCCCTTGTGCAGTAGCAGCACCCACCCCAGGCAGCACCTGCCCACTAGTAACCTGCACGGGCAGCCCCAAAGGCTGCTGCTGCTGCTGCAGAGGGAAGGACCGGGCCCCACCCCTGTAGCTCAGGGGCTGTGTGACCTGGCAGCAGCTCACGCAGGCAGGGTCTGCTGGGAAAAAAAACAAAAGAGTGAGGGGCCTGATCCTTTCTTTTTTTTGTTTTCTTAGAGCCTGCCCACATCTCATGCAACCAGGGGGCAAGCTGCTGGTAGATTGAGCAGCCCATGAGCTGTGGGGTCCCAGTCCTTCCTTTTGCAGTGGCGGCACCCCCCAGGGCTGCCTGGGTGGGCTGCTAGTGGGCAGGTGCTGCCCGGGGGGTGCCACTGCCATGGAGGGAAGGACCAGACCCCCTTGCAGCTCAGGGCCCACCAGCAGAAATACCCCCAGTTGCAGGACAGGCAGGCCGGGGGGAAAGGATCGGGCCCTGGTCACTTTTTTTTTTTTTTCTGGTGTAGTCTGTCTGTGCAAGCTGTCCTGGTGTCATGGAGGGGGGCCCAGTCCCTCCCTCCACAGCAGTGGTGCTCCCCGTGGCTGCCCTGGTAGGGTGCTAGCTGTGTGAGTGCTCTGCCAGATTGCAGGCAGCACCTAGCCTGATACACTGGTTCATGGGGCATTGGAAACCCAGCTGTGCTCGGGGAAGCTTGGGCTTGGCAGGCTTTCAGTGCCCCATGCACTGTCTCTGCCACCTTCCTGCCACCTGGGACCACCTGGGAACAGACTGGCTTGCCCCTGGGGCATTGCAGGAAGGTAGCAGGACAGGGGTTGGGGTGCTGGAAGCCAGAGAACATGGTGGGGACAGTGCATGGAGTGCTGGAAGCCCACCAAGCCCGAGCTTCCCCAAGTACACCTGGGCTTCCAGTGCCCCGTGCACCATCCCCACTGCCTTCTCCGGATGTATAGTTGCAATTTGTTATGTAGCAAACTAAAATACATTGGATGTGTTTTACTTTGCTACATAAAGTCATTTAAATCAAAATACGCCACTGCACACGTACAGTGTGACAAAACTGAATTGTAATACACCGCCGCAGGTATAAACTGTGATGCAATTAAACTTAAAAAGGCCAATTTTGTCATGTGTACAAGTGCTCTAGGAGCTAAATGCACTATTCTCTGACTCATTTCTTTTTCACACATCATCTTCTCCCTCAGCACATTTTCAACATATATATGCATATGTAAAGTGTATGTCTATTGCTTTTTTAAATACCTGCAATTGTTCATCAATGTAGGAGACTTTTAGAATTTCTGCTGCTGATGGTCTCAATAAAGGATTCTTGTTTAGCATGCTGAAATATTTAAAAAAAAGCTAATTCAGTTATTTTCCAAATTAATTAAGCACTTATATTAAATAAAAAAACCCCCATACCTGTTCAGAACTGCATTCAGTTTACTTGGGTATCTGTCAGGAAGAGAAGGTGTGTCACCTTCTACAATTTTTAGCACAATGGACAAAAAATTGTGTCCAGGAAATGCATGACCCATACAGCACATCTCGTATAAAATGCATCCTAGTGACCTAGAACAACAAAATTGAATAGATGTTGATCTTGATAAAAGCACAGGTTCTAAAATTCAAGTTTATTTTAAAAAACAGCTAAAATATGTATCTTCAACTGATGGAAATCATAGAATCATGATGTTTCTCTATCATAGAAACATAGAGAATTAGGGCTAGAAAAGACCTCCAGAGGTCACCTAGTCCAAGCCCCTGTCTGAGGCAGGATCATCCCTAGAATGTTATCATGTCCCCAGTTGAGCACCTTTTCCACAAACTGGAAGGAGCATAGCTCCTTTACCTTCTTCTCATATGACTTGCCTTCCAAACCCCTTATCATCTTTGTTGCCCATCTGTAAACCCTCTCTAATTTCTCCACATCCTTTAAAAAATGCGGAGTCTAGTACTAAACACAATACTCCAGATGAGACCTGACCAGTGCTGAATAGAGAGGCACTATCACCTCCTGCATCTTCACCTAATTCTTCTATTGATGATTCTCACAGGGGAACCATGACAACCAATGTCTGGCTTCTATAAAAGGTTGTCAAGGCTCAAGAGATCCCAGGTAGAGGGCCACAACCCCCACTATAGACTAAGGCAAAAAACCCCACAGTTCTTACCAATCTGATCATGAGGTGAAATTCCTTCTTGACCCCAAATATGGTAATCAGTCTGACCTGAGTAGGCCTAAGCAGTGCCAAATAGAGATGCAATATCACCTCCCAGTAAGACCTTCCAGCCAGGAACCTCTAGCTTTGGTCCCAGCAGAAGCATTGGTATGTCTGAGTCAAAATCTCCAGTCTTTGCTGTAGCCAACGCCCAATGCCTCTGATGGAAGCATAAAAACACCTTGACATAGAATCATAGAAAATTACAGTTGGAAGGGACCTTAGAAGGTCATCTAGTCCAACCCCCTCCTCAAAGCAGGACCAGCCCCAGCTCGATCACCTCAGCCAAAGCTTTTCTATAATCATGTTCCCTCTTAAGTACCTTTTCCACAAGCTAAAGATGTCTACCTCCTTCAGCCTCTCTTCATATGATTTGCTTTACAAGCCTTTTATCATCCTTCTTGACTACCTCTAAACCCTCTCTAATGCCTTTGTAACCTTTTAAAAATATGGAGTCCAGAACTGCATATGATACTGCAGATGAGGCTTAACTAGTGGTGAACAGAGGGACCATCACCTCCTGCATCTTGCACCTAATACTTCTATTGATGAATCCCAAAACCACATTCACCTTTTGTGATGCTGCATCACAATGCAGACTCATATTGAGTCCGTGATCTACCAAGACTCCTAAATCCTTTTCCAGAGTGTTTCCATCGATCCAGGTGTCATTCATTTAATATTTGTGTTTTTGATTATTCTTCCTGAGGTGTAGCACCTTGCATTTGTCCACAGTGAACTTCAGCCTGTTAGCTCTAGCCTAGCCTTCCAGTCTGTCAAGATCCTTCTCACTTGTGCTCGCATCCTCCAATGTGTTTGTAATCCTTCTCAGTGTTGTGTCATCTGAAAACTTGCTCAAGAAGCTTTGTATGCCAGCATCCAAATTATTAATAAATATATTGAACAGCACCAGGCCCAGGACAGATCTCAGTGGGACTCCACTCAACACTTCCTGCCATTCTGAGATGGACCATTAATAATTACCCTTTGCTTGAGTCTACTGAGTCAGTTATCTATCCACCTACAAGAATTTTGCCCAGCCCACATTTCTCCAATTTGTTTATGAGAAGGATGTGTGGGACTTTGTCAAAAGCCTTACTGAAGTCCAATCCACTACATCCACAGCATTCCCTTCATCCACCCAATTAGTTACTCTGTCAGAGAAGGAGATCAAGTTTGTTTGACATGATTCTTCATAATCTTTAAATTCTTTCAGACCTATCAAAAGTTCACTGACCATCTCTTTTATCTCCTCCCTCATCTTGCCTCCTTCCTTATTCAGATAATCCTTATTAGGTATCTGGCTACAGCTTAATTTTTTTGTGAAGACTGAGGCAAAGTAGCTGTTGAGTAGTTCTGCTGACTTTATCTTCTGTTAGGAGTTCCCTCTGAATTGTTAACAGTGGACCAACAGCTTCCTTCATTCTTCTTTTCCAGCCAACATACTTATAGAACCTCCTCATGTTGTTCTTAACCTCCTTCACCAGGTGCATTCTTTGTCTTTGCCTTCCTGATTTTGTCTCTACAGGTTCTTCTATTTCCTGGTACACTTCCTTGGTGACCTGCCCATTAGCCCACTGTCTGTATGCTTTCCTTTTGCATTTGAGGCATTTTAGAAGCTCCTTGTACAGATATATCAATTCTTCTGCTTCCACCATGACGGGACAGTTTCTTGGGCTTCCAATACTGTGCTCTTTAGAAGTTCCCAACTTTCGTGGGTGCCTTTATCCTTCAGTCTATCTTCCAATGGCACCATGCCTATTAACTCCTTGAGTTAGATGAAATCTGCCTTTTTGAAATCTAGCATCCTAATTTTGCTGACCTCATGCTTTCCCTGTCTCAGGATCTAAAATTCTATCATATCATGTTCACTTTCTCTCAAGTTACTCAGCCCTTTCACATCCTCTACCAGGTCTTCCCGGTTGGTCAGAAAAAGAACCAAGATAGATGATCCCCTAGTTGTATCCTCCACCTTCTAAAACAGAAAGTTGCTGTCCACACAAGTTAGGAACTGGCTTGACATTTTATGTTTGGCTGCACTGTCCTTCCAGTAGATGTCTGGCAAACTGAAGTTTCCTGTCAGTATTATTATAACCAGGAGTCAAGGGCTCCTGTTACTTCAAAGGGAAAGTGCAGCAGGCTAGCCTTGCTGTACAGCCAGGCAGCTAAGCAAAAGCCCACTGCACTGCAACAAGCTTTCTGTGTGGGGCAGCCTGAGAGTAAAAGCTGCAAGTAGCTAAATTAAGCTGCAGTAGGGAAGGACAGACTGACTATTAGGCACAAAGGGAAACCCCTGTGCTCGACTAGGGAGTCACTTGGTCAAAAGGGACAGTGGTCCAGGACATATAAATCCAGCATCAGAAGCCAGGCAGGCAGTCTGGCCCTGCATGCTGCAGAGGTCCCGTGGGAGAGGGGCTAAAAGAGACAGCCTGGAAAGCATCCAAGCTACCCATGCAAGTTGGGAAGTGAGAGCTCAAAGGGAGGAAGACTTTTTGTTTGGAAGCGTTTACTTGTATTTGTGTTGTGTTAAAGTTGATACTGGAGGACTGAGTGTGGCTAAAAGGGACATATAGGAGGCCAATGGCATACCCAATGGGAGCCTGGTATAGAGTCTTCAAGAGTTTAGGAACCAGTGGGCTGCATAGACCTGAAGCCCAAACTGTTTAGAGGCTGAGAATAGCAGCCCTGCAGAAACAGGGACTCAGGGGGCTAAGCCCAGTTAAAGGGTTCATGGGCTGATAAAGCATGAACAGCCTTCCCTGGGTTGGGGCACCAGGGGTGGGTTAGGCTATGGACAGCCCTGCTCTGGGCCAGAGATGCCAGGGGGGCTGAGTTAACTTGGGAACAGTGTTGACTGGGCCAGACAATGGTGGTGGCTGGGTCAGACAATGAGCAGCCTAGCCTGGGTCAGGGACCCCAGGGGGGCTGGAATGAAATTTTAAGACCGGAGCCAGTGGCCTGGAGACCAAGATTCAAAGAGAGCTGAGACCAAGAAAGCCAGGCCAGAAGAAGTGGGCCTAAGCCAGAGGCCTGCACCAGAATAACAATATTCTGCAATAAAGCAAGAAGGCAGAGGCCCCCATAGAAAGGTTCGGAATGTTGTCAGAATAATATCCACAAGACATGAGTGTGGCTATGGGGGAGGACAGAGGCCATGAATATAGCTCAAAAGGTGAGTGGTGCCCCAAGGCACTGACAGGGCCAAGAAAGCCACAGTCTAGTGCTATAAAGGGCAAAACTGAGCCTGGCTGGTTGAAGATTTAGGGCTCACTTTGGGACTCTGGGGCAGCCTCCCTATACTCCATAAGAAATACAATGTGTGGCAAGTGAGGTTAAAAAGGGAGGGTACTCAGAGGAGCGGGGGCCATATGGCCACCAGGGGCCATTGTAGCTGGGCCCTATCACAACCATTCCATAGCTTTTTGGTAGGTTTGTCATCTGCTTGAAAAGTGCCTCATCCAACCCATCTTTCTGATTTGGTGGCCTATAATAAATCCCCACCATTATATCAGTGCTGTATCTTTCACTTTTCATCTTCTCCCAAATGCATTCTGCTTTGCCTTCATCCTCCTCCTGAACCAGGGAACAAGTGTATGTGTTTTTGACATACAAAAACCATCTTTTCTCCCAACCCTGTCTTTCTGAAACAGCGTGTAATCCTTGAAGTTGACACTTCAGTCATAAGAGCTGTTCCACTAGGTCTCTGTGATGCCAATCAGATCATAGTTCTTTTTGGCTGCAGCTTCCAGCTCATCATATTTATTTCCCATACATCTCACATTTGTATACATGCTTCAGATGCATTTTGCATTTTGACCTACTCGCTTGCCTTTTGTGCCATTTGTTGTAGTCCTTTAGCTCTCTGGCCTTTTCCCAGAGTTAAGTTGCTTCTTTCAGTCCTTTCCCTTGGATTGTGTGTTCTGTTGCTGGAGGGTTTTGATTACCATACCCCGTGGAACCTAGCTTAAAGCTCCCCTTACTAGGTTGGCCAGAAAACACCCAAAGGTGCTCTTTCCCATTCTTATCAGATGGATCCAACCTCTTGATAGCAGTCCTACTCCCAAAAACATCCTCCCATCATCAGAGAAGCCAAAGCCTTCAAGTCAACACCACTGTCTCAGCCATGCATTGACTTCCAGGATATGATGGTTTCTGCCTGGACCTTTACCTTCCACAGGAAGAATTGACAAGAACACCACTTGTGCTCCAAATTTCTTAATCCTACTGCCAAATCTGGATGACAAATTGGTGCTTCTGTCCCCCACAGAAGGGAGTCACCAGACACCATCACTCTTCTCTTCCTTCTTAGTGCAGTAATCCTACAACCTCTGACTTTGGGGCCTTGCACTT